TATTAAAAAAAATTAAAGTGAAACATATACCTCATTACTTATATTATTTTTTGAATTGAAAGTTCAAAGGAGTAATTTCATAGAACAAAGTGATTTGTAAGCATGTCCATCCAAATGTATAAAAATTTGTTACAGGGTAGAATGTGAAAATTATACATATGTCATATTCTAAATAAGAAATAAACATCTAAAGTCTAAATTTGTACATTTATAAAGAATTTTAAATATCATATTTTTTTTTACTATTATATAACGTGAATTTTTGCTTGAAAATGCATTAAGCACCTAGTTGTCGAAGGTAAATAGAAAATACAACAACAAGATCCTATCAAGTCTAATAGAATTTAAAATAAAGTCTAAGTAATCTTTAATAATTTTAATCATATTTTAATGAATCTAAAAGAAATTTAAAAGAAATTACAAAAGAAACATAAAAAATCATAAATTAATTTTAAAAAATAATAATAAAGAAATCTTAAAGAAATCCAAAATAAAAATCTTAAAGAAATAATAAGAATTTTAAAGAAATAATTAAAAATAGAAATCTTTAAAAAAATTATAAAGAATCTTAAAGAAATGTAAAAAAATCTTTAAAGAAATAATAATGAACTCAATAAAAATATTAAATAAATATTAAATAAATCCTAATAAAATTTTAATGTAGCCTTAATCAAATTCTAATTAAATCCTAATCAAATCCTAATTAAATCCTAAGAAAGTTCTAATCAAATCTTAAATCTTAGATAAAATCATGATAAAATCTTAATAAAATCCTAACTAAATTCTAAATCTTAGACTAAACCATAATAAAACATTAATGAAATCCTAATCAAATCCCAACCAAATCCTAGACCAAACCATAATAAAATGTTAATAAAATTGTAGTCAAATCCTAATCAAATTCTAGATCAAACTATAATAAAATATTGATAAAATTGTAATCAAATCCTAACTCAATCCTAGATCAAACTATAATAAAAAATTAATCAAATCTTAATCAAATCTTAGCCAAATCAAAGATCAAATCATAATAAAACATTAATGAAATCCTAACCAAATTCTAACTAAATCCTAGATCAAATTCTGATCAAATCCTAATCAAATCTTAAATTATAATCAAATCCTAATAAAATTTTAATCAAATATTAAGTCTTAATAAAATCCTAATGAATTCTAATAAAATTTTAATAAAATCTTAATCAAATCTTAAATCTTACATCCTAAATCAATTCCAAAAAAAATCCTAAATAAATCTTAATTACTTCTTAAAGTTGTTTTAAATTCTTAATAAATATCAATGAAACTGTTGATTATTACTAAAATTTCACTTACATTTTAATCTACAAGAAATTAATAAGTATGAAAAAATTGTAGAAAATCAAATTCACTAATTGAGAAAAAAGCTCTTAAAACCTCTCAAATGTTAATCACTCTCTTTTTCTAACTTGAATGTTGATCTTCCAATAGCAATTTCTCCTTGTTTCTTTCAACCTCTCTATTGCTATTTCAATATTCTTAGGTCTTCTTTCTCCTTTATATAAATTTCTTTAAAATATTTCTAATGGTACATTTAAACATATGCCTTCTATTTTTGATAATGCATTAGTATAAAATTTTGTACCCACATTATTTTCCAAATCAATCATATCTTTTTCATTATAATACCTTGCTCTTAATAACATATCTGCAACTGAATTATCTTTCTTTGCAATGTATTTAAACTCTAAATTTATAGATTTGATATATACAATCTACATTATTATAGCAATATCAAAAATTGAACAACTTGTAATCATGCCAAATAAAGATAGATAATTTATTTTTATAATTATTGATGCATCAATTAAATTTTTATTTTTATTTTTTATAGATATTATTATATTTTATAATTTTTTTTTGATTTGTGCATATATCTTTTGTCTAGATTCAAAACTTTTGATCCAAACTTTACTATATATCTATTTTCTTATTCATCATCTTATCCAACTATCCAATTTATTCTAATTGGACTTATATCAACTATTAATATCACTAGTCTTTGACATTTATAGTTCACTTTCTTCAAAGTTAGAATTAAAAAAAGAAATTCTTTCAATTTTTCTATATCTTTTTTTTATTATTTTTTCCATTAATTTTTTTTATTATTTCTTTAAAACTCATACAATAGATTTGTTATATATTTAAAATGAGATATTCGTATATAATAAAAATATATATGTTCTTAAAAATCTTTTGACCTCTATTGTGTTTGTACATTCTTTTATTTTTTTAATAATATCAATCTTTTCAATACTTGGCTTGCATCAATATGATCTACATATGTAATCAACAATAAGTATTTTATTTATTTCAAATATAGACTTTGTATCTAAGAAAATCAAATGTACATCTTTCAACCATGATAATATCTTTTCACAATCTATGATATGATTTGCAATAAATCTTCAACAACTTTTTTTATCTAATATTTCATCTTATTCTTCCTTTATATATCTTTTAATTAGTACATCATTTAATAATAGCATAGTCTTCTTTGATATAAAATCTCTCAACACTTTATTCATTTCATTTATCATATAAGCCATTGAATTAGTAGACCTTTGAGGCAATGTATACATTTTTACTAATTCCAATGAAGTATTTATAATAGTTAAATTTCTACTTTGTAATACCAATTGTAATTGATCATATTATAAATAAAGATTTCCTATTAAATAGATTACTCTTCTAGCAAATGTTTCTAGAAATCCATCCACAATTGGACTTGGATCCATATTTCTAATAGTCTTTCATTCACAAGTTGCATATCTTATATAAATCTCATTATTTCATTTTTTTTTAGTACAATGAACCATTAATTAGAATAAGGTGTCATAAATGGTTTCAAAATTCCGATTTTAATCTTTTCATTGAATAAATCTACTAACTTGAATAAATGTGTTTTTGATAGTAGAATTGGTTACAAATTCCATGGTTTATGAGGAATAGTAAAAATAATCATAGGTGTAATAATACTTGGATTAATACATCTAATTTAATCAATATTCATTCCATTTTTCTTTGATATAAATATTGAAGGTTGAATCATAGATGTAGGATGGTTAATAGATATTTTTATCTTAGATGTTTGCTATGGTCTTTAAATATCTATCCTATCTTCTCTCTTTTTTTTTTTCTAATTGCAAAAAAACCTATTATCACTTCTACTTCCTTTCAATTTTTTGTCAATTCTTCTTCTTCTTCTTTATCTTCAAGCAAAATTTTTAACTTCTCTTGCAACTTTCTATTAGCTCCTAAAAAGAAAAAGCTCCACTTTGCTTGGATCTAGTAATTACCTCTCTTTCTTTGATAAATGAAAATATTGTCTTTTAAACTCCTTTAATAATTCCGTTGCTTGAAGATCCTTCTTAGATCTTTCAATCCACTTGAAAAATGACTTTTTTGTAACTATGTCATTATCTTTCAAGAAAAATTCATCCTTCAATGCTTGAAAAAAATTCTCCCATGAATCTCCAAAATGTCCTATAATAGACTTTACATGATTTTTTAATTTTTGGAGCAAAATCTAATTCAAATAATTGAACCATCTCCTTCTCAAAAACATACTTCAATTCCATTTCTTTAATATAATACCTTAAATACGTTCTAATATATTCTTCTTTGAATTGATCAATTTTATTGATAACTACTTATAAAACCTTATTTTTTATATCCTCTTTATAATTTTTAATATATTACTGTTGCATAAATAAAGCAAAAGCTTCAAACATGCTTATAAAATTAGGATCTAAATACATACCTTGTCCTCCATTTGTAGCATATATGCAAAAATGTAAATTGTTTTACTTAAATAATAAAAGAAGCATGTTTCCTTGGAAATTAATGTAACCTTGGTACTATAGTAAGATTATAAACATGGCACACACTAGTTACAATTTCAAAGATGCAACAATGAGTTACTATGGCTATTCCACTATATAAAAATGTATTTCTGACCATCACAACCCAAGAGCATACAACATAATGGAAAAAATTACACTTGGCATAATACTTCTTTCCTTTATCCATTATAATATTCTACCCTATCTCATAAACTATATCTAAGATTTTGAAAAGTCTAGTCCCAAATTGATTCCATTCAAACCAACCACATCAACTCATTAGTTTTACATCAATAGTGTTACATTTGCCTTCTCATCACAAGATAACTTTAAAATAGTCTCATATTACATTCTTTGTTAGTTTTCAAAATCCTCAACTGCAAGCTTCTACGTTAACATTACAAGGACTTGAAGCCATAGAAAAATTGGAGGTACAGTGAGTACATTGGACTAACCCGAAGTTTCACATACTTAAAGTTAAGCAGGTTTCCTTTTAAGAGCTTACACTAAAGAAATACATTGGTTTAACATTTGGATTGCTACTAGGCACTAACCTCCGAAGGAAACAAACTACTTGGAAGGTAACCTACATGCTGCAATTTTGACACATAAGCATCGGAGTATTTGAATGATTGCAAAATTAAAAGAGGCTAATGAAAGCTAACACCAAGTATCATATTCATCAAATCACCAATCAACACCGAAAAGGTGCGAAACCGATGCTGTGACCCACTCCATCCATTGACTACGGTTTTCCCAAAGTCATCGGGGAGAAGACACTTGTGCCAACATGGGAATTACGCGAAGATCACCCATAAAATTCTAAACAAAGTTGAGTCTAATCGGATATCACACCGAATGTCTGATTCGCGGGGTGGAATAATAAGGTTTGTCAAAGGAATTCAAACCTCTACTTTTGGACATCAAAAGCCAATGAAAGAGAAACCAGATCTCATAAACCTAAATTGATATAAAGTGCCAAACTGAAATTTTTTGTTCTTTTAAAAATGTACAAAAAATTGACTACAGAAACAAATTCATCTTGAAAAAGACCAACAAAAAAGATACTCTAATACTAAAAGATTAAACGCAGCCCATTATTCCACAAGACAACAGTGATGAGAAGAAAACAAGTATCCACTATTATACATGCAAGTTGGAAAAGGGAACGATGCAAACAACTCGAAAAATGAATCTAAAAGCCTCCACGTTAACGTCAAATTTTTTAAAATCTACAAGGAAGAGAGGAGCTGTACAGAAATGAACACAAGATTGAACATGCACCTGACATCCTACCACATCTAATACACCAAAGAGCATCAATTGCTGTGCAGCGATCTACAAAACTGAACTCTGCTGGGCTTCCAGAGGCAACCACGAAATAGAGCGCAACGGTGTACGTTCCATCAATGTCGCTCCAACAGCTGCCGGCAGAATTGATCCATCCTGCCAGGCACAACATATCCATCTCTGACCGAGAATGTGGGCGCCGCCGTTACTGTCAACATACGCAAGCTGAATGAACAATTTTCAACGACATTACAAAAACACAAAATTAACATCCAGTAAAAGAACTCATAATAAAAAGAACAAAACCGGACATACAGATAGCTCGCAAAAAAAGACTAATTTTAAAAAAAACACATACCATAAAATAACTAAAAAGAGAAAGCGTCCCCTCAGCTAGAAACTGGGACGACAGCGCGATGAGTTCCAATGGTGCCAATCTCGCTTGGAGCCACTGAACCCCAAATAAGTATCAAAACAAAGGCGCTTAATGACTGAAAAAACGAAAATCTAACAGGAAAAATGTTCAAAGAGGCCGGCAGAAAACCGAAGTGAGTGTACGATTATACGGAGACATCGATCATCTCCTCTTTGCAGTTCCGTTCCTCGAAACAGAATGCTCAACGTGCTTCAAACGCATCAACGGGCAAACAGTTGGCCCTTCCTCCACTGGACGGGAGAACTGTGAATGCCGACCAACTGGAACTACGTATCCACCTAAAGAGCTCTGATGCTAGAGCAAGAGACCAATCAAGAACAAGAGCACAGAACGGGACGGGAGAGGACGGGAGGAGGGGAGGAATGCGTCACTTCTTGCACACAACTTTGACATCTCGTGCTAAACACGACACACGCGGAGAGAGAGAAAGCAGTTGCCATCTACACGGTCAAAACCCTTACACCAATTTACAGGTTGAATCAGCCTTCAAGTTAATCCCCAACACAGCTCCGTCCATGCTTGGCCCTGCTTCTCGCCTGCTTGCCACCAATTCCCACGCCACTTCCACATGCTTCACCAAACCCGACCAGCTGTCCGTAGCTTGCCACACATCCACCACGTTCCACGACCAAGTCTATCTTTCACTTCCAAAAATCTCCTCTAACTCTTGCTCACACTCTCCGCCTGAGTTGAGCCGCTCCCGCTTCCCGAGCCTCCCACTCCACCTCCCCCCTCGCCCACCGTTGGCGGGCTCGCCGTCGCTGCCTCCGAATTCCCCCGACCCACTCGATGATGACCCCCACTGCTCCCATCCTCCCCGTAACCTCCCCCCTCCACCGCATCCTGCCGCTCCACAGGAACCTCTGAATATCCCGAAGGCGCCAGGTTCATCGGGGATGACCCCACTGGATACGGTGCCACCGGCAAATCCGTCAGCGACCCCGCCGACGGACTGTAAGTCAAGCTCCCTCCCAGCGGGTGATCGAATTTGCACGTCGGTCCAAACTTGCATATACCGTACCGACTGTAGAACGAGCACGGAGGATTCCCCTGCAACCATCGCCCAACGCACCCCACCCCACCTGTCAGCTCGTCCACCATCCCCCCAACAATCCACATCCCGCACCAACCCATGCACTCATCGTACCCCCACCCTTTCCCCACATCATCCCGCCCGTCCACGCATTATACTTACAGGCCGCAAAGGAAGACCCATGGGGCTCAAATGGCACGTCGGTGACGGAGTGGCGCGATCCTTCGGGTGATGATATCTGCAAGTCGACCCGAACTTGCAGTCCCCGGTCTTCATGTAGTACTGGCACTCCGGTTGCCCGGGTCTCTCAGGGAACACAGTCTCCTGCCCACCCACCGCCTGCGTCGCCTGATGAGCGGGAAGTCCCACTGCTGATGACCCTTGCATGTAAGGACCGTAACCCGACACGTGCTCTCCCTGCGGCGCTCCTCCGAAGACGTACCCCTGCTGGTGCCCTTCCGCCGGCCCGACTGGTCCCTGCTTCATGCAACGTCACGCTCACCCATGTCACAACATCGCAAACCACTGCCACACTTCCCACTTCATCCACCAACTCCTACATCCTCAACCATCCCCAATTCACCCACACCTCCCCTGCTCCCGGTCACTCAACCTCCTCCGATCATGCACGCAATCCGACACTGCAATCTCATCGCCTCTCACTCCACCATCCTCCGCTCTGCATACCCTCCATTCTGCTCATTCACCTTCACACCTCCCACGGACATCGCATCACATGCTCCACTGCCCTTACTACCACCGCCTCCATTCTTCTGGATCTCCTCCTCGCTCTCACTTTCACCACACCATGCCCGTCCTCGCACCGCCTCCCTCTCTCCTCCCCCACCTCCAACCACCAACCCGACGCGCAACCACTACGCTCTACCCACATTCGCACACCGACTGGACTACCAACACCCCCTACACAACCAAGTCCACTCCATGCTTCGCATTGCCCGACACACTTACTTGGTAGTTCCACCCCGCCATCGACATGATTCCTTGCTGCAACGGCATCATTGTGCCGTAACTCGAAGGCGCTTGCATTCTAGGCAGAGGGAACGGTGATCTCGTCAACGGCCACGACGGCACGCCTCCCGGTGGGTAATGTTGAGGCGCTGGAGAAGACGGACCTCCACCGCTTCCGAACGGCAGTGGCACCATTCCTCCCACCGTCGCCGGCTGAGGGTGATGGAACTTACAGGTCACCCCGTACTTGCAAGATCCCGTGCGCATGTAGTACGCGCATTCCTTCTCCTCCTGCACATCACCACCGCACTCTTACTCCCGCTGACCACTCCCCCGCTCCCACAATCCTCCCACACCCTTCGCAACCCTCGCACACACACACACACACACACACACAACTTCCCAAATCATGAGGCAACGACACCCGACCCTGCACAACGGAGCCACCCGGCAACAATAACTCATCATCCGATTCCGCCCTACCCACCAGTCTCAGCGGAAGACCTAGCACGTTCAAATGTACGCGCCCTGTGGATCCCGCCTTCTCCCTCGGATGATGGTACTTGCACGTGGCTCCAAATTTGCAAGTCCCCGTCTTCAAATAATACTGCACACTCACGCCACACACCCCACCCCTGCCCTCAGCACCACCGCTGCTAGTTCCCAACTCCCACCACCCCGGACACCACACCCACTCCTGCATATCACTCGCCCGACGACCTATCCCAATCACCACCCCTCAAACCGCACTCCACGACCCAGCCCGACCACTGCCTGCCAAACATTCATGCCCACCTTCACCGCCTGCACAAGCTCATCCACGCCATCCACCCACAATACCATACCAGTCACAAGCCCATCAATCCCCACTCCTACGTTCGCGTCGTCTTTCCCCTTACCTGACACTCTGGATGCCCCACCCTTTCGGGATACTCGCCCTTGCCCCGCGTCGCTGCGGCAGCCTGCATCACCACACACACATACACACACAAATCGTCAGCTTCCCACACTCCACGCCCCCGCCAAGCTCCACCCACCAACCACCCCAACTGAATTGCGTTTCTGCGCCTCTCCCTGTCCCCGTCCTCCGCCCTCACATCTCAATCCTCGCAATGCCAACGCTAATTGCAAACTCCACCACACCCCCACGCAACCGTACACCCCACACTCAACATGCACTAGAAAGCGCACCAGTTTGCGGTTCGGAGGATGATTGTAACGGCAAGTCATCCCGAACCCACACAACCCTGTGCGCATGTAGTACACACAATCGGGCTCACCCGGCCGTTCGGGGTACGGCCCCTGACCTCCATCCACGCCCTCCTGCCCCTGCATCGCCATCGCCCACCCTGCTTCTGCAAAGTCCGCACCACACACGCCCACACACACCTCCACTCAGCTTCCCACATACAATTCATCCCCACAGCCCTAGTCTTTCACCTCCCCACACCACTCTGCGTCATTCCCTGCCCAGATGTGCGCACGGAGCCTGCTGTATCCTGCGCCACATCCAGGCGTCTCCACCAACCCATGTGTCCTGGGACGCACAATACTAACAAATCCAACGACCTGCTCCCAACACCTCGCCATAGCCATCGCGCCATCAGCTACCCTGCTCCCGGGCTCACCCAACACGGACACCCACAGTCAACCCCGCATTGCCCAGGGACGCTCTACACCCTCGCGTCACGCAATCGGATCGACCGCGGCACTCTACCAAGCATCGGCCCCTACCGAGTCGTGGGCCGGCAGCGACGAGGGGACTGTCGATCCAATTGCAACCCCCCCCCTATCGACGTGTCACAACGACCGCATCTGAAACTCGGAGCTGTAGTTCCCGCACCCAAACACCCACTTCACCACCCCACAAGTTCCAACCCCTCCACGTTCCGTAATCGCCACTCAACACTCCTCCCCGCCGCACAATTTCCACAATCAACCAGACCAACATTCATCGCACGCCACCCGGTCCGAATCCTAAGTTCCCCCACATCCGACAAACACATACCGACCCCCCACATGCACAATCGACATCCCTCCCGATGGCAATTGGCCACTGCCGATCCAATCGCACACCTCAAGACCACACCACACCACCCAGATCGTACCACAGCGCCAATTTCACACCCAACACCCACTGTGCAACCCCTCTGACAAGCTCAACTCGGGCTGTGACCTCTCTACTTGCCATCCTACCACCCCACGCCCCAAATCGGACCAAATCGCTCATCGTTACTACCTCCAGAAGAATGTGACGCCCCGACCGCGTCTAGCACGCTGATACTGCTGCCGCTGCCGCCCTCGGGGGGCGAACGCTGCGCCCCGCCAGCATGCTGAGAGTGCCCGCCCCAATCGTCGTAGAGCTGAAGACCGGAGCCGGGCGCGATGTCAGAGGCGGAGGGTGCCTCAAGGCCTGCTGCAAAGGAGGAAGGCGCCCCTTTGGCTGGCGCGAAGAATTCCATCTACCATGCCCCGCACAGGGATGGCTCGATGCCAACCCGACACACTCCCCCTCGCTCTGCGGCGCAGGCGCCAACAATCGGCGACGCGCAGCGCAGCTGATGAGATTGGGGGAGTCGGAAACGAAGGCAGCAGAGAGGGAGGGGGGAGGAGGCGATGGAGAGTGAGGGGAGAGGTGTGGAGGGGGAGCGATGCGGAGCTGGAGGTGCTGCTGCTTGGTGGTGGTGCGAATGCTGCTGCGATGATGACGACGATGCTGATGGCGATGAATCTGCTGGAATGGGGAAGAGGAGGAAGGAGAGAAAGAAGGAAGGCAGGCAGGCAGAGGAAGGGGTCCAGCAATGCAATGCAACGCAGAGAGTGAGGGAAGGGAAGGGTAGGTGGGAGAGCGAGAGTGAGGGCTGGGCAGGGGCGAGTGAGACGTGAGGGGGCTCGTTCTCCCTCTCGCTCGCCCTCTTGGGAGGCACAAGACTCGTTGATGTGGAGTTGGCTGCCACTAGTCTAGTCTACATAGCAAGCTGGCCATTGGCTGGTCGTCTTGCTTTGTGCGTTTCCAGTGGTGGACGCTGTGGTCATCGGTCCTCGAGCGACGAGTCTCCTTCCATCCATCCCTCCCTCTCTTCCCCCACCCGTCCCCTACCCGTCCTCCTGCCGCCGCACCCTGTGCCCACCCTGCACAGGGAGTGCCTCAGTGGGGTCGTGGCCGCTGGGCGCGGGTACCATCCAGATGGTGCCGCTGCCGTCATCACGCATCCTGGGAATGAATGAGTCGTCAGTTGGGGGAGCGAGAGTGGCATGGTGTATTCTGAGCTTCGATGGGTTAGTGTCAGAGCGTTTGTATGGTCCACAGCTTCCTCGTCCTCCTCCTGCTCCCCCTCCTCCTCCTACTAAGGCCAGGTGCTGAGCACCCCTTTACAGCTTCCAGGTCCGCTTGCTATTGGCCCCAGCCTCTTTGCTTCCCCTCTTGGCCCCCTATCAATGGGCTTCTACATCCATGTCCAATCCGGTCCTCCTTCTAAGATCCTCGATCCAACAATGAATTGCTCTGCATGAAGATTCACCGATGAATTCCTCGAAAAGAAGAAAAGTATAAAATGAAGTTTCGAATCCTTGAAGAAAAACATTCCGAGTGCAATTGAAGTCTTGATTTGTGTTGTGATTTGTGAAAGTGATGTCGAAATGAGGTTTGCTGCATTTCCTTGAGTCTTCATTGTTAACTATGTTTATTTAAAATCATAGACAGTGAAACAGTGATTATGGTTATTTTATTTTTTGACAGTATTTGATTAGTATCTCACTGTTTGTTAAAATATAGTAGATATTGACATTATATATATATATATATATATATATATGTCTACACACACACACACACAAACAGATACAGTGGTGTTGATAGATATGTGAACGATTTGTTTCAATCAAGTTTTAGAAATTAAATTGAGTGTTGATTGGATGTGGATTGAAAAGTAGAGTTAGAAAATATATCGAGTTATTCCATAGATTGATTTCGTCTCAAATTCTGTCATGATGTCAATTCTAGATCGTTACAAAAATACATGTCTCTGTTTACATCTATTATTGTTTTATATTCACATACACAGAAATATTCATATGGATTTATATAAAGTTTCTGTTAATTTTTTTGTTTGAAGTGGAGAAATATTGTTCATGTATGAATTATTGTGTATTTTAGTCTTTAAAATCAACCATGAAAATATCGTCCTTTGTAAAGTTATGAGTGTATTGTTGTACACAAATGTATGTATCATAAAGTTGTCTATTCAATTGAAATCAAATTTGTTGAATTGCATCTAACTAATTGTTGATATTATACTTTTTTTGTGTGTCAACTTTAAATCAGGTTTTCCATTATTTTAATAACTCCTGTGATTTTTCTGATTCCTTTCTGCAGTCCACATCCAATAATTCAATCCCAATATTATTTTTCATTTTCCACTTCCTATCAGTCTTTATTGATTTCTTTAATTTTGTTGATTTTTTTTTCATATTTTGGATTTTTCTATACTTTTTTAATAACGAAAATCAAAATAATGCATCATATACATACTTTTAAGTAATGGTTTATATATACATTTATATATATATATGGATATATATATATATATATGCCCATGAAGACGTGTGCGCCTTTCGGAGGACTAAGCTTTAAGAAGAATGCGAGGACATTCTAACTGCAGCTGCGTTGTGAGAAAAGCCATAAGGGGATTCTGAGTGGCGGCAAAGCCCTCGTAGGTGCTGCGCCACCTTCACGGGCTCGTTGGCCGCAACGCCGGCGTCACGATCATGGCCACGCTTCAGATTCGTATCGACCTGCTCAAGTGGACGAGGTGCCGCACGACGCTCTCTCGAGTCCACGGGGAGTTGGGAATATCACAGGAATGGCCACAAGGCTGAGACCACAGTGATGAACGCACACGGGCAGCTTTGACGCTGAAGGTGAATCTGAAAGTGTAGAGGTGAGAGAGCTGGTGGGCGGACGCGTCGAATGGAGCAGCTCACGGCCGAGGTCGATAAGAACGTGCTAGTCGTCAACTCAAAACCTCACGCAATCTCTGTCTCAATGCAGAGCACCAGAAATGTAGTGACATGTGCTCAGTGTTAGTACGTGAGTAGCGTTGATGTGTATTTATGCAGGTGGCGTGGGTGGGCATTGCAGGAATATCATCTGTAATGACGGAGTGGAATGAGAGCCCCAGGATGCGCAGCGTGCTTCATCAACGTTTTGATCCAGTTGCGCGATTTGCATGGTATAGTGTTGGAGTACTAGGAGCTTTCATGTACATGACGATAATTAAGCCGGACATGGTTGTTGAATGGTGCTCGAGTATGTTGGCAGTACAGGTTACATAAGTTTGTTGACAGAAATTGTCTTCACACATTGGCTACTTTGTCCTCAGATCGAAAGGAGAGTTGTATTATATTGAAAGGTAAGTGAATACTGCAAGTGTCAGTCATTAATCCACCTAGAAAGTGACATCGGGGTTGCAAGATGTATGGTTGTTTATAACAAATCATCTCCAAATTGGTCACGACAACTGATAAAGGCGTATCCCTCCAACTTTCATGCAGTTGTGGACATGCGCACTCTGCAATGGCGAAGTCGCTCTCCCATGCTGATCCAAAAAGCCTTGTTATGATGATTTTACTGGCAATCATGCTTGACAAAACTACCTATATGTTTGCTGTCCACAAATCGACGTATTTACATAGCTCATTTAAGCAATCTCGTCTCAGTGCGTAATGGGTTTGCGGTGAGCACATTGTTCACCGCAAATGTGAAAGACATTTGTGGCTTGCTTAAGATCTGAAAACAGCGAGCACGGAGGTAAGAGGCAGATTGAAAATGCATAATCATTGGGATAAGGATTTATTTTGTCCACCCGTTTCTAAGCATGTTCAGCACACATGAACTGGCTGCCACACTTCAAAAATGGCAGTCATACCTCAAAAAATACTGTCAGCATTTAGCCTCGGGCCAAGCTCAAGCCAGAAGTACACGATGACTAAGCACGTCGTATCCACCTAAATACCATCCTACATACATTTAAACAAAGTCTAAACCTTGCAGGACCAAGGTAATGTTGACAAATCTCTTTTAGGCTTGGGAAGAGCTCTGCTGATCCCTGGATCATTGTCAGCAGATTGCCTCCGAACGGATCGCTCAAGTGAGCAGCCAAGTTCTGGACTGGCCAGGCATGTAAGCCTGGACGAAGAACCCCAGCATGGAGAACATAGCCAGCCTACCGTTCGTGATCTCCTTCACCTTCAACAAGACGAACTATTCGGGATCATTGGCAAGACCCAGAGGGTCGAACGCTCCTCCTGGGTATAGTCGGTCAAGATCCTGCACGTCACATGATTGCGAAAGCAGTTTAGCACTCCGAATAATGACCACCGAAACATCAGGAACCATCGGTTAGAGACGCATTTCACGGAGATGAAGCATGCAGTAGCTATAACATTGAGCGCTTCCCGATCCCAATGGAGACTTATTAGTCGACCTGTAGAATTCGGCTCCTCTAACCAATATCACCTCGGCAATCACTGCGGCTGCCAGATTGATGGGAATAGTAGCTCCGAAATATTTGATAGAGTCACCTTCCAGCAGCAAACCTCCAGTCTGTGCAAATGACACAAGAGTCACCGACACAACAAACCGTAAAAATGTGGAAAAATAAACCTTCTTTAAAATCATCAGCAATGGACTCTAAATACGATGACAAATTCACGGACACGCCGATCAACCGTTTCAGTGAACAAGACTAATCCTCATGTTGCACAAACACATATCCTCAGAGAGTATTGCACTAGGTGAAGAACCTTCCGCCACACAGCTTCAGGCCCACAAACAGCGCCGAATTTGTTGAACGCCTCGGGGAGAACGAATCCAGCGGCTCCCGGCATAGCCCACCGGGCGTGGATCAATTCATAGGCTTGGTATGTGCGGTGATTGCAAATTATTGGTACTGACTTTAGTCTCAAAAAATGCTCATCCACTACAATGTACTCACTATCGTTCGATCAAGAGAATTATAAGAGAGTTATAAGAATTATAAGATTCCCTAACAATATCTTACTTGTCGAAGTCCTCCGACTTCATGGACAGACCAAGAGGGTAGCACCCATAGCTGCACCATCACAGAAACACTGTCTCGTCAGAACACTCCTTCACAAGGAAACAACCAGTTCGTTACAACTTATAGAGGTAAAATCTTGATGACCTGAAGATTTTGAATGAAAGTCAGGGCAACTACAACCGAGAATTACTTACTCTCCAGGGACCTCCCCAGTCAAATACTCGGGGATCTCGTTCTTAGCCAAGAGACCCTCGAGCAAGTAGATGGTCCTGTCGGGACCTGCATGACTCAATGTTAAGTGCAACATATCCATAGTCAACACAAGTCGCATTGTTCGTAAGGCTGCGTTACGAGCCACAGCCGTAGCCAAATATGATCGGTACTAGACTCAGGCATTATTCAAGTAAGAAAGACGCACAATTGCACCAGAATTCGACCAATCCTTGTGCTAGGCACCCACGTCCGCTAGCTCCAACCCTGCATTGTAACGTCCTCATACCACGCAGATTCCATACACAAGTTAACCCGACCTAGACACTGAAAACTTAACTTACCACTTTGCCAACTCCTCGTTGCTGGTTCTTCGACGTCCTGCTTGCCGAAGTTGAGCAGAGACACTGCGCGCTTGGCACCCGGCTTCTGACCTACCACCTCGCTCCTGCTAGCCAGTACGTGCTGGCCCAAAAACTAAACCTTCGCTGCTGCCATAGCTGCCATCGCTCCTCACAAAGTGGATACCGAATCTAAGCTTGCAGCAGGCCAATAACTAATACGGGGACAAAATTATTGTGGATACACAAGGAGTAGATACTGCGGACATTATGAAGAAAAATATGGGAAGAGAGGCGGGCTTGGGTGACTGGGAGCTAGGCTAATCGCATTTGGTTGAGCACACGAACCTCTAACGGCGATTAAGATTTTGCTCTCCTGCCCACAATAGATTTTGTGACTCTAAGGGCGATTACTCTCCTTCAGGAATGCGATTAAATATAGAGAAGCATCAGCTCAACACAGTGAAAGCGCAGCAGCTCCTAATTTTATAGCATTTGATGACAGGGATGATTGCAGCACTTATTTCGGTGAACGTTTCGTTGAGGGTGTTATAGTATTACAGTGGATTGAGATTCAATGCGGTTCTATCAAGACCATTTTCAGTGTAATGGTATGGGCAAGATAGTCATGAAGGATACACTTTGACGGGTTCTGTAACGATTTCATACTGCCTGGACTGTGAAATTGCTCCCAAATGCTTAGAGCTGCTAGGGTTCAAAATTTTAAACATATAAATCAATGTCACTAGGATTTCCAACATCGCATCTCAGAACATGGTCCAAGCAAGCAGCTTATCCAAGTAACGTTCTAAAAACTCGCCACTGCAAGTTATGACCACCTTCAATATCATTATTTTGTGCTTTCTATCTATCAATTCGGAATGCTCAACATACAGTCCCAACGTAATGAGGCCAGATATTTTTCAAAGATGTACAAAGAAAGTGATTTCAGACTCAAAATAACACACAGCACTGGTCACTTTTGTTCGACCAGCTGTGAGAACTCAGTTTTCATAAACAATACGAAAGTTCAGCTAATGGGGTAAGGCAAATTACCAACTCGGTAAACTCCTGGAAACCTTCGATTTCCACACATGTACAATACGGACCTGCCAATTACAACTAAACTAGACGACTACACGCATAAACGTTGAAAGGTATCCAGTAGTACTGGTTTTCAGTGTCACAAGTTCGACTAATAATGAACCGTGGAAATATTTCAGAGTATAATAGAGTGTTGATGCAGAGAAGTTCCCAAAGGTAAGATTGATTTCAGCTCTGTACAAAACACAAGTATGAGAATGCGCGCAAGCCATTAATATATCAGTCTGCCAGGCCACCTAGCCTCTATATCTCCATCCTTAACCTCGTTGAATAGTTGAGAAGGCCTGACTTGTAGCTAGACCTGAACCAAAACCAACAACTTTGTGCACTTACAGCAGGGTCCGAACCCATTCAAATGAGGACTATTTGAAATAATGATGCAAGGCAACTACAATGGGGTAGCGGAACCAGTTTATTCCCCACCATTGAACACGGCTACATAATCCAACGTTGATGAACCCCTTCTTACGCGCTGCACAATGTGATTTTTCACGTCACAAAATGCAAAACTCTTGGTTTCAGGGATGCAAAGTTTTGATACATCAATAATACAGAATCATCGTTCTTGCGGCGCCTAACTCATAATTGATTTCAGCGACAGCTATCTGCGCATATGCAGATAATCACACAAAGCTCACCTTTTTGCACATGTCAACACTCTCTACTTCCCACCGCTCTTTGACTAGGCACAGGGCCTCTTTCTCACCATCATCATAGCAGACCTGCCACCCACAATCTGATGAGCATATCGATTGACCAAAACAAGTCTGAACTGATCCTAATAATGACAACGTCAAAGAAAGACGTCGCTTCATGAACAGTGTTGTACCTGATGCTTCCCAGAACTTCCATCAAAACTCAAAACCTCCCCATGGTAAAACCTGCTCTCAAGAACACTATATCAAATAGGAAACATTCGCTTGATACTTCGACCACATATCACGTTTGTTTAAAACAAGAACATGGTAAAACCAAGAGAGGATGCAAAATCTCGTATTTTTACGTAGGTGGCGATCACGTTTCAGTCATCACTTCCACATCATCACAAGATCGAATGATAATTCAATGGAAATTGGATGGAGAGCCGTGGCGTCGAATGAGAAGGGTAGGTTTAAACACTGTAGGGTTTCCCAACCATAAGCAAAATATTCTTGGAACCTCCAATGTACCGAAAGAGGACAAAGAAAGAGAAAACGTATTGGTTACATGTATCAATCATAAAGATATAAGACTGACTTCAAAAATTCGTTACAAGTCGCAAATGCATTGTAAAACTGCAAATTGAGGAGGTTCTTACTTCTGATCAAGCGGCCACCAAATTTTAATGCGGAGACCCACTAACTTCACCCCTCCCAACTGGTCATATCGAGGGGTTGGTGTCCCTAGAAAGGCCACCCAATTACGTACCACATTGCAATAATGTTTCAAAAATGTTCCAAAGCATACCCCCAGTTCCTGACCTCAGGTCCCGGTCGCCATCATTTAATAATAAGAATAATAATTATTATTACTGCTATTACTGCTAACAAAATAATATTGATAGGCTTAAAATTAAAACGCATGACCGAGCATCTCACCTGCATCTCCGCTGGTATCATTGCTTGCGGATCTCCTTTGATAATGCCTGTGCTGAAGCTGTCACGCACAAATAATGTGAATGGATTCAGACCTCAGAAACTGAAAAAGGATTACTAAAATCCACTCAAAAACACACGCATTAGGAAGTTCAGTAGGACACTTACGGGCGCATGTTTCAGACTAAAGTTCCCACACAAGTTTGACTTTTTCAGGGTTTGGGGGAGGGCACAATTAATATGAGCAATGTCTTCACTGGCCTTTTGCTGTTTCATTGGTTTTCCAAGCTGACCTCGGCATTCTGGGGCTCCACAGTGACAGTGTTGATTTTTTGAGCCGAACTGAATAAACCTGAATAGGGAATTTGGGTCAAAACTAGTGAATAAGAAATCTCATGTTGTTCAGTGAGTTCACAATTATTAAGGACAGTGGCTGCATGAAACAAGTCAATAGGAAGGAGGAAACGCACTGATAGTCATAAGTCACAAAGTCGCCACGTTTAATATCAGTGATTGCAAACACCCCAATCCGAGTCTCACCATCAATATCCCTGCATTCACTCAATTTGCAATTATATCACAAATCAAAATCATAGAAGATTAACGGATCACCTTCCTAAGTGCAAGTGTGCTGACAGTTTAATTCGATCCGAGTCTGCGAGTGAACATGTTGCAAGCTACTATACAAGAGCTTACCATTTCTGCAGCTCACTGTTGGGCTGGCAGCTATGATTAATGAATCGAGACAAGTTGCCCTTGAAAGTCGCATCTATAACCATTTCACGGCTAATTTCGCACATGTAAAAATTCATCTCGCCCTGTTTCTTCATTGCCCATAGCCTTTCCTCACATGTTTGATCGTCAATGACTGCGATTGAAATAAACGGCAGCACTGGATTAGGATAACAAAAGCAATCCGTGGAATCCCCTTTCAGGTATACGAGCACTTAAATTCAAGGTGCCTCCTAAGAAGTTAATACAGGTGAATCGCTCATTCCATTAGTGCCCACAGTAGTGATCGAATGAGAAATAACGAAAGAAAAGTATTTGATAGTGCAGAACAGCATACTTGTATTGTAAGAAAATAAATTTAGTATATCAAATGTGTAGATGTGTTGGATAAGGCAGAGCTAAGAATAGATTTTGCACCTTCCCCCACATACTCGACGAGGAACGAGCCTGCCTTGATGTCTTCATCTGCTACTAACCCCCATCCACATCTCTCTGTCTGCATTGGGAACATCTTCAGTTTACACCCTTGTCATCATGCTTCTCATTTAACAGGTATAACGAAACACTCCTGATTACCTTGCCTATTCCTACTTAATGACGTGACCCTTCGACCCCATATTACTCAAAGAGCAACCATGACATTTTGCAAAGCACCAACTGCTGTCCTTAGCCAACTACCACGAAAGAGCTGGAACCAGATTTCCTGAAGGCAACATTCGTCAAAAAACTGAAATATTGTCCACACTTTCAGGGAGCGGTTCCACAATCAACGTCTCAAAAGTGAACTGAATCGAATATAGGCTCATTCGTCATGGGTAAATGCAATGTTTTGATTATTCAAGTGACACACTAAAGAATTCAAAAAAGCGTTCAAGGTTGTAAGACTTCACCTTTACGGCTTTCATTTTACTTCCAGGGAGCTTCTGAAATGGAAGGTTGGTGCAGGAATCACCGCAACCACAATTGCTTGAGCAGGTCATAAAGAGCATCCTAACATGATTCGCGCAGCAAAAATTAGGGGCATGGGCAGGAGGCGACGGGCTCAATACGAAGCGTAATCTCTTGAGCAAACACGGGATGCATGATAATACAGCTAGGCAGAATAGAGAGAGCCATTGGCTCAAAATGCTAGTGGAAACTAAATCCACACAGCAGACTCTACAAGGAACAAGAAAGTAGAGAAGAATAACTGGACAACTCACCCACAAAGGCAGTCTTTTGAGCAGGTCTCACTGGATCCCACTGTGGGCTTGCACAAACATTCCATCTTCTCATCTTGTTGCCACCGCTTTGATTTTTTAACTAGGTAAATGTCTAACTTGAAGTTAAGTGAACACGAAATACCTTTCAAGTCCAACTTGAAAACCAATGAAAAGAAAGATCGAGTTCTTCACTCAATAAGAGGATACTGCGCCTGATGTGGCAATAGGAGGGAGGTTTATTCGGCATGCAGCGCACGGCATCAAAAATAGCACGGGGAAGTTGGAAATCGATTGCAGTATTGGGCAATGGTAATCTCTCCAGAGAAATCTTGGGATCACTGATTGGCTGTGCGTCCTACAAACGCAACTCGCGACTTAGTACTAAAGAATGTCCAAATCCACTGAGTATCAAACCGACACAGGAAATATCTCAACGCTATGACCTGCCACCAAAAACGAAGACGTGGTCTCTGTGACTAACGCTGGTTCCGAACAATTACTTCCCGTGTAAAATCAAACAGCTAAGTAGGAACTAAAATAAGCCAGGTTTGAATTCATGTGTAGATTATAATATTTTGACATATCAATATGTGCACAAATTATCAGATTCGTCACAGGTTGTGACAGAGAGACGATAAGCTCCAGGAAGTTTGCTAACAGAAAGAGGAAGAAAACCATAAGAAAACAGAAGTAGAACGTATCTAACCATTCAAAACTATTGATCGAAAGCAAAGTCTAAAACAAGTACCGACAATATTACACTGCGACAAAATGAACCAGAAAACCAGGACATCATTTCTCAGGTTAACATGTAATCACTCAACACAAGAGCAGACAATAGGTTCAGCGACGAAATGGGCCTACAATATTTAAGAAATTGTTCCCAAACAATGGTTTCTGAACAACTCACAAAGGCACACTCACGCGCACTTACCTTGTATTCATGCTTCCATTCATCATCATGCTTCCAGCACAGCAAATATCCGGGAATATCTTCTAGCAAATTGGTGCCTTCTGGTGAGCACGATTCATGATAAGCGACAGGGCAGTATAAACATCGGTGCAGCTTTGCATTCTTCTGACATTTACGGCAAGCGTCGCAATGATGTCGGGGGCACACCATAGCACCGTTATCGGTTTTCTTCGGAGGAATGCGAACCCATCCTTTCGAACAATCCTTGTGATAATACTTTCCACAATTCCTGTGAGCACATTTTACAAGATCCACCTCCAAAGAACCAAAGGCCTTGCACTTGAAGCAACGCACCTGCCAAGTGAGCCAGACAAAAGTTAAAGCTGAGACGTGCAATCTTGTGAAAATTAAGAGAATAACAAATTAATTACAAGGAGAAATGTGAAATTTCCACATACATTATGTACAAGTACATTCAAATAATATTTAGAAAATTAAAATTAGTGATTCGAACATCGTCTGGATTGAGTGAGGAAAGTCGACACCAATAAAAGTAGTCCACTTAGCTATAAAATAAATCACAAAAATCCAGACCCACACCAAATCTACTCGAAAGCGCATTATCTTTTGAGTGTATGCCAAGTTGTGGACAGACTTCCATTGGGAGTAACGAGGACAAAGAACATTTTCAGGTGAATTTCACAGTCTTTTCAATTTTTACACAGTTCTAGTGATGTCATCTGATGATGCAGAGGCCAATTAGGTCGGTTTCTTGCACCCGTGACAAGGGAGGGACTCACAACCTTTGCCATACGATGACCCGATCCCAAAATTGTCTGCAATATGGGTAGATATGTGTTGGTTTGTGTTCTCATTAATTCGATTAAAACTACTTATCGGTCGGGATTTGAAAAATGTAGATTGGGAAAGTCCATCCACGCTACAACTAGAGCCAACAATGACTTCTCATTCACCAGTATCACAATTCTTGTTTACAACTTATTCGTAAAACTTTTGGACGAAGGTAGACATCTCAGAAAACATCTCTCTCCAAAGAAACCTTGAGAATGTCATCCTTTACTTATGCTCAGAGAAATGCGCTGCATTTGAGGTCCTGCCAATTTCTCTCATAATGCTCATCCGTTGGCTTTAGGGTATGACAAGGAAGAGAACAAACGAAAATGGAGATTGACAAGAGGAGGATGTACCTTGTTTTCTGCGCAGCTTGAACACAACCAGGGTTCAACATCTGGGCATTTATCAAGCCCAAGACAAGAGAGGTGAAAACCACTACGACACCTCTCACAGCAAAGCAGCTCCCCAAAGTCGCTGCACACATCGCATATGAACGCAAATCCATCGTCATCCCTCTTTCCCTTCTTTCGGCCATCCTCCTTGGGCATATCCTTCACAGGAATCTTCGCGCTCTTGGGTCTTCCCATCCTCCCAAATACTGTCCTACATATCAGATTCTCTAAACGTCAACACATGCGCTGTCCTCACCCTTACGGACATTGTGAAAATATGTACATTAAGAAACCAGAATCTGGAGGCTTCAATTGAAACAAGGCTAAATGTTTATGCGCACCGACAGCTCTCGGGCGATCCTCCTCCAGTCACATTGGGCTTATAACGCAAGACTTCTTCTCCAAGCAACCATTTTCGTTACTCCATGCTGACCGAGTATAACACACAAACTTGAAACCCTGATACTATAAGTATATGAGCGGACGCTTGAGTGAAAGAAACTCATCACTATGGATTCCAAGGTACTCTTCATGCTCCAGCCGTTGATCTCGGAACTCAGAGCTGCAATGATGTTACCAATTACTCCTTCGAGTCCACAGATGAGGCGCGAACTCCATGCTGAAAAATTCAACCTGGCCTTCCAAGAGCAAAGCGTCGAAACACAGCGCCATTCCAGCGACGAATTCTCGACGGATACGAGAAGAAAAAAAAGTTCTATACATATATATATATATATATATATAGCCTCACCTCTTACGCGCTCCAGTGAAGTTTACACTCCCACTATCTCCTTAGAGAGAGCTTCCCAATCCACTAACTCACAAACGCCATTCACAAGGCAACGCCAGAACCGGCGCTAACCAACAAACAAAACACCATCCAACTTTTCTCGCAAAACGACGGGTCGAAGAGAAACTATCCAAAAACCGAAATCCAGCAGCGACTCCTCCTCTTCTCCGCGCTGCAAACAACCACAACACACTACATTGAAACAGCCCGATCGCAGCAAGCGACCCTCCCGCCAGAAACGCAGAGCGAGAGCAGGTCAGCTGAGAAAAATGACAAAACTCGCCGAAGAATTAGACGAACACAGCTACAAGAGTTCAGCGCGTGAGGCGAAAACGATCACGGAGAGGGGAAGCATCGACGTCGGCAGCGCCAAATCAATCGCAGGGAGAGAGCATCGCGTCAAGCGAGGAGAGTTTTGAAGCGCGCGAGGGGCGCCAACTTTGGAATCGGCGACTCAGACGTTTAACTTGGAGCATAAGGAGATGCCGAAACGAAGTGTTCACACCGCACTTCGACTTCCTCCGCCTTCCATCTACGTGGCACCTCTCCCTACCATACGGCGTACTCGCCCAACTTTCTTCGTCTACGCTTGTGTATTATATATCGTATGTGAATTCGTATATATATATATATATATGTGTGTGTGTGTGTGTGTGTGACTACTGATTTGTATTTAGTGTGTGTTCTGAGCAACAGTCTCCCGTCTCTGTTGACTATGATTTCGTATAGAACGTGTCTGTGATATTTAAACATGAACGAAGCATTTTTTTAATTTTTCAAGAATATATATATATATATATATATATATGCTTATATATACATGTATATACTTGTATATTTCAACATTTAAAAAAATGTTATTCTGTTGTAGATGGTTTGGGTATGTAATAGAATTGAAAGCTTTATTTTTCTTCTTCTTTTTCCTGTTTGTTTTTTTTGTTTTTTCTTTTTTGTAACACTGTTAATTGTTCTTTTCAAATAATTTCACTGTTTTTGAAATCTTTCTCTGCCAAGGGAAAAATCGAATCGAATACAGTTATTTGGAAATTCACTAAAAGTAATTCTAACATGTCGAAAATAATTATTAATGCTAGTAAAAAAATAAGCAATTTATGGTTGCAGTAAGCTACTCATACATTATTATTAAATAGTGTTTGAATATAACGTTTGTAATTTCTATTCAGGGATAAAACAAAGGCATGCCTTCAAAAAAAAATTAATATTTGATTTTAAATATTTAATGAATTTTTTTTGAAGAAAATCACAAACTGTTGCAACTACAATCCTAGCGCAGTCTCCATGCTCAAGTCTCAACTTCAAAACAGATTCATTTAAAAAAAATAAAAATAATAATATGAGATAATTTATAGTTCAACACATTCAAGCTTAGGGTTTTGAAGCAAATAAGAGACCACCATTTAATGGTTAGCAATCTCTGCAACTTCAGAATGAACTGATAACCAGATTTTGATGCCTATGCGTTTTTTTATTTAAGTCATTTATAATGTAATTTGTAATCATGGAGTAAATTGTGTTTAAGCAGAAATCAACTGATACAATGGACAGGACATCTCATGTTTTAACCACATAGTTTAACATCTGTAAACCTCATTGTAAGGAAGATTATTGGATTTTGAACTCCTCTTTGTTTCAGAATATGATGTCAGTAATGTAATTATCCATGCTTAAGTATGTCAAGGAGCATAGTGCCACCACAAGTGCTAGACTTGGGTTCTAAGTCTAGCAAGGGGTCTTATAAGAGGGTCTTGGATGTTTGAGACTTCTTGTTCAAATCTCATTGTATTAAGTATTAAAAAATCCTAAAACGACTTAGTTTTTCAAATTGAGCCTTTAAAGGATGAGTTAGTGTATAGAAACTTCTCTCATTATAAAATAGTGTATTTTTAGGAGAATGTTCAATAGATTTATGCTTTTACTAAATAGACCTACCTTTGAAGAAGAATATAGTAATCATGATGAATGTGGTTAGATTTTATTGATTGTAGATCTAATGATAGGGAAATGAGTCTAGAAATTATTTTTTTTATGATGGTTAGGATGGATGTATTAATTTAGTAAAACTTGAATCTATTTAATATTCTTTTATTTTTATAGTATTAATATGTGGCTTGATTTGTGTGCTTGTTGTATAGCTTTTGTACTTCTTTTAAGATTTTCTCCTCAAAAATAATACTTTAAAAAGATCCAATGTCAAATATGAGTGTAAGTGTGGTAGAATAATACATGAAAGTTGATATACAAGGTACTTGGTTTTGTTTATACTACTTTAAATTATAATGTTGGAATAGTTGTATGATACTATTGATTGTAACAAAAGGATTATAACAAGTTATTATAGGTTAGAATTCACTAAAGCATTTCTTACTATAAAGATTATTATAGAAATAAGATAGTACAAAGATTATAGGAGTGGTATTGAGGTATGACCTTGAGAATTTTTAAAATTTTGTTGCAGTTCATATCTTTAACATTTATTAAAGATTATAAAATATAAGAATTTTTTTTTTTAATGTTGTTGACAATAGTCTCAATGTCAAAGCCATCAAATTAGACATAAGAATAGGAGTTGCAAAAAGAGAAGGTAATATTTATAATCTTATGTTATATAAAAAGCATAAATTTTTAAAAAATAATAAATTATTGATTTAATATATCTTATAATGAAAACCATAAATTACTATGAATTAGAATTTTTTTTTAGAACATTTGTATGTGTTTAAAGGTGGTACAAACCAACACAATTTTCAAGCAAGATTGTAGATGATGTGAAGATTATATAAGCATGTAAAACATGTTATAATTATTTTTTATGTTTTAGATCATTTTAGCACGTATTATATTTTGGTAGCCAAGCATAGTCTTTATTACTCACTTAGTCAAAATATGTAATGATTATGCAAAGATAATATTTGAAGAAGCATATATAATTGACACATACTCATACCTTGTGCATAGATTTATGATTTATTGATTATTAAGCTATATGTCATAGATGCTTTGAAATTGAGACAAGTTTACATTTATAAAGACAAAGTGATGATAGAACTTGTACTTCTATTATCTTAAGACAAGTGTTGACATAGCTAAGGACAAAGAGCAATAGCCATTACACCCTTACAAATTACAAAGTTTAAAAAAATTACTTAAAAAGTATTTTCTATCATCATTAAACTTTTGGATGCAAAATTGATAGAAGGTTATAATAAAGAAAATGCAGCAATTTTTGTGATGTCTCATAAGAAGGATATCTTTGGCAATTGAAAAAATAAGTGGATGTTTGTTGATTATATATTTATTAGTAAAATAATAAAATTAAATAAATATACTATATTTAAATCTAATCTTATGTTTTATAATATATTATGATAGTTAAATCATTCTAAAAAAAAATAGATTGAAAAAATGCATGGTAAAAACTAACAAGAGGGCTCTTAAAAAATATGATTTATAAAAATGACATTATGGAGATTGAGATTTGCAATTATCTTAGTTCACTATAAAATACTACTTTAATAAGCAAGCTTCTTTGGCCATATTTTTTCTTTATTTATTTTTATACAAGAGAAAATTAGTCTTATTAACTTTTATTAAATATATTCTATAAGCAATAGTCAAAATACATGATATTGAGTTGGAGATAGGAATGTGTAATACACAAGAAAAATTAATTTAGTATATTATATCAATTGTAATTGAAAATATTGATATTGTTCAATATTATAATAACTTAAGTTTTCCTATTATTTAAAAAAGATTTTATCAACTACATTTATAAAGATTTTTAATAGATGATATATAATTGTAAAAAAGTGTATAATTATATTAAATGTAATGAAAAATAAATTCATTCTAGCAATTAAGAAGATATTTTGAAGTGGTGTGCTGAAATTGAAAGACATTAATGGACGGATCTAAAAAGATTATCCTTAAAATTGTATTCTTTGTCTTTTGCTACTTAGAGATGGTACTATAAATTCCAATTTAAATGTTATTCTAGCTAACTTAAAGAGAATATTATGTGAAAGAGTTTAATGAACTACAACATTGATTCAATGCAATATTTCTTCAATAAGTTGATTAATAACATATTTAATACGACCTTAAAACTAAATTTCTATTGAAAGATGGATATTTCCATAATATAAGAAAATTCTTCAAATAAAAGTAATTTTTAATAAATACTAGCAATATTTTGCCTTAAGATAATGTTAGATAGATGCTCCATCATAAAAGGAGTTTTATTTATGTTTCATGAGAGAAATAAAAAAAGGCTAAATAAGCCTTAGTTTTTGTAGATATCTTTATATATTTAAATTTATTTCTAATTTTTATTATTTCTAATTTTTATTATGTATATAGTTTTCTATCTACTTCTTAATTGTAATAGGATCATGGACATACATATTTACCTAGATAAGAAGTGCTAGGTAGAAGTTGAATGTAGGTTGATTTTATATTATATTGTGGCGAAGCTTCTTAGAAGCTTTATAAATGAATATTTGATTTTATACATATTTATAATTGATTAGTAGGTTAAAAACTTGGCTAAAAAATTAGCCGTATATTCTATAGGTCAGTAGCTTGTGATATAAGCTAACAATGTGGCATGCATATAAAATACTTACCTTGCAAGTTAAGGCATGTATCTTGCAAATTGAACATATATTAGAAGTCCTATAAAATGTTGTTATATAGCTCTTAGTTAGATAATATACATAGAGGCAAGAATAAAGCCTTCTTCACTCTTATCAATGTCTTTTTAGTCCTTAGTCCTATTTCAAGACTTTCTAATCTTCTTATCTTTGGCAATAGCCATTTTATTTTATTGTTATGTCATCTTTGAGTGATTTTTTAACCTTTTTGAGTGACACAAGAGTATATTGATCTTTTAGTTCTTTGAGATTCATATCCTTAACAATTTCACAAATGTACTAATTCATCATTTTTATTTTTATTTTTTTAAAAGTAAGTGGATTATTTTATTTCTATTTTTGTACTTTTGAGGTTACGGATAATCTACCTTTAAATTAGAATTTAGTTTCTTAATACTAATTTTTTTCTTAAAAAAAAGAGGATTATTTTTCTTTGTAAATTTTTTTGATTTGTTATTAGAAATTGTAGATTATCCTTTTTTAATTTGACTTATTAATTGTTTGAATTGTCTATGGAATAAATAAACTTATGGATGCTACTCATATTAGCAATGAAAATAGATTTGTAACTATTATAGATTTTCACAAATTTATCAATACTCCTAAAATAAAAATTTCATGCATTTTCAATGTGAATTATAGGGTTATTATTTCTATACTTATGGAAGAAGTCAACAATAAAGTTAAAAGACTATTCCAAAAAGTTGTGCAATTGAGAGAAGTAAATAGATTAAGTTTACAATCAAATCTGAAAAGCCTTGCTACTACATGTATGAGGAA